ATAAATGTACAGAATTGGTTTTATTTTAAATACAATACATGCATAAAATTATTTTTTAAATAAATCAACAGAAAATAGCAATAGTTACCAATAATTTCCTCCTATCGTAAAGCTTTCGCGTCAAAATGTCAAAACGCCGCGCGACGCATATTTTTTTAAACATTATGTATCTTGTTTATTATTCATTCGATTTAAATAAAAATTTCCAAAAAACTTCTTGACATGTTAATAAACAAATGTCTCACTGGAAGTTTTGTCAACTCGAAAGTTCACCGCATACTTTTTCTCTTCAAAGTTGAGAAAACGTATTTACCGACAGGTCTTTATTTACATTAACAAATAATTTTACAATTAATTTTTTAAAATGTTTTAATCATTTTATCGTCTTCAGTAGACCCTGATACGTAAGTATATCAATTTTTAATTAATTTTATGCAGATTTGTTTGAGAAAAGTCGATTTATGTTTTGAAATTCATTGAAATTGAAGAATAAAAAAAATTCAGTTTTTTCCATTATTATTAAAAATAAAAGTCCTACAAAAAAATTTCAAAGACAAAAAAGTTGCGCATTTTTATGCTCTATACGGTAGTATGTTTTAAAATTAAAAATTCCGACTTTTATTTTTTTTCATTTTTTGACGGCTTGACTGGCTTGGATTTTTCAGTTCAAGCGCAGATCGAGTTATTGCCCGCGGGAGCTCAATTGAATTCTTGTGGAAAAGTTTATTTTTGAAAATAATTGAATTTTTCGATTAATCAATTTAAAATTGAATTTAAAATAATTGAATTCCTTCGATGAGTTTTAGTATTTATGAAAGTATAATTGAATTCTTGCTTTGAATTTTACCAAAAAATTTTTTTAAAAATTGAATTTTCATGTGAAAAATGTTATTATTAGTGAAAGTATTTCGAATATTTTTTGAAAATAATTGAATCGTTTTAAATAATTTGATTATAATTTTTGAGAATAGTTTTTTGATTTCTAGTATTAGCGAATCTAAAGTAGTAGAAATTGTAAACTTTTTTATTGTTTATAAAACTGTGAAAGTATTTATTTTTTAAAATAAATCTTTTTTCATTTATTTATTATTATCTAAAAATTTTAGTACCGATAAACATCCACCGTTGATAAAGAAGAACTTTTCTTCACATTTCTTTCACTGTTACTCATTGGCGTGAAACTATAGAATTTGTACAGTGCAGCACATTCAACATTTTCATAAGAATTTTACTAAAAAAAAAAACTATAATACAAATAAAATCAACTCTTTTAATAAAAAATATTACTCCAAAATTTAATTTAAATACATGTTCACTCTTCCAGAAAATTTACCATCAAATATAATTAATATCAAGCTTAATTCAGAAGTATTTTGGGGGTCTCTGATGATTAACATTTTGAAGGCAGAAGAATGCAATTCTGAATTGTATATTCGAAATTTTTATATTTAAATATCTGGGGGTGAAAAAATCTCGAAAATACTTAGGTATTGAAAAAAATTTTTCGTTGATTAACATTGTGGATTTCAATGGAGAACTTTATGGGCTGGGCCTCATTTAATTATTATATATTTAATGTATTTAATTGTCATAAGTTATATTTTATAAATGTCTCGCTTCAGGTACTTTTTTGCGTGATTATGACAAGCCCAAACAATGTATGAGATTTATAGCAAGTGAAATTTATGTCAAGTGGAATTTGGGGATTATTCATTCTCCTCGCATATCACTACATGCTTACGTCGTGAGTCAGAAGGAGAGTCGAATCAAAATATTCAAATTTTCGAATAGAAAAGAAATTTACAATTAAAATACATTTCAGTGAAAATTTCATCCACAAAGGAACACGCCTAAAAATATTTAAGACTTTAGTTTCAGTTTATTATAAAAATAAATGTGGAATTTCATACTTAAATCAGAATTACCACGACTCAGGGAAATCAAGGAAAACTCAGGTAAGTGTGACGGAATTTTATCAAAACAACCTTAGAAATATCACATTTTTAGAATTTCTACCAAATTTCTGTCTTTTGGTATCCTAAAATATTTTTAAAAAACTCGAAGTCAAAGAATTCTTCTTGAATTTTTTCGACATAAAAACTTTTAAACCACAATGGATTGTAACACGATACACTTTTGCGTATCGTGTTATTTTATTTTAAGCAATTGCATTCTAGAATTAACTTTCATAAAGTTATAATTTTTAATTAACTTCAAAAAGATTTTAGTTAAAAACAGTTGCAATTTTTTCAGAAAAAAATTGAATTTAAAAAAATTTTAAACGAAAATTTAAATTAAATAATAAAGATAATAGGCCAAATTTACCAGTTTGTCAATTTTTTTAAATAAATAACGTTGTTTTGGTAGCTGCCGCCGCACCCTTATCAAGTTTACATTCAATTATTGCAAATTTTAATTGCCGTGAAAAATTAATAACAATTAAGTATTCATTTAAAAAAAGATTTAATTTCCAAATAATTGTATTTAAAATTTTAAAATTAAGGTTTGCTTTAAAATGCTCCTTAGTATCTTATGTCCCAAAACATTTATGAAAACAAATATGCAAAAGAAAAAAGTTATAGCAATTTTTATGATCGTTTCTTAACTGACTATAATCCATTACGAAAACTTTAAACGCGTTTTTCTCAAAAACACTTTTTTGAAAACGGAAAGACCTCAAAATCTACTGAACTAATTTTAAAAAACAAAAACCATTCAATTCTGTATCTCAGGCTTCGCACTCACCTACTAAAACATACTATTTACTACTTTTTTTTACAATTTGCTACTATTTGGGTATTTTTAGATTTCAGCCACTAAAAGCTACTATTTGTTTTTTTTTAGAATTTCCACTACTTTAGATTCGCTAATACTAGAAATCAATAAAATATTCTCAAAAATTATGATCAAATTCTTTAAAACGATTCAATTATTTTCAAAAAAGATTCGAAATTCAATTATTTTCAATATATATAGTATTTTCATAAAATTTCGCAAAAGAATTCAATTATTTAAAAAAAAATTACTAAAATTTATCCAAAATTCAATAATTATTTTTATTAAGAATTAAATTTCCACAAGAATTTAATTAATTTAGTATAGAATTTTCAAAAAAAAAAGAAAAAAGAAATTATTTAACAAAATTTTTATACAATTCTTCACAATAATTCACTTATTTTCATAAATAATAAAACTCATCGAAGAATTTTAATTAATTTTAATACCTACTATTTTAAATTAATGGAAGAATTTAATTATTTTCATAAATAATAAAATTCTTCCCAGGAATTCAATTATTTATGAAAATTTTAATAAAATCCTTTGCAACTATTCAATTACTTTCATAATTATATTTAATACAATTTTTCAGGAATTGGAAAAAATGTAATTATTCTTAAAAATTTAATTTAATTTCCTCGAAAGATTTTAATTTATTGTTTTTGAAATATTTCAATTATTCTTTTATAGAATTGAATAAAATTCTTCACAAGAATTCAATTATTCACATAAATAATTCTTCGAATGAATTCAATTATATCGATAGATAACAAAATTATTATTACCGAAAATTCAATTATTTTGAGGCATTTTAATAAAATTCTTTGTAAAATTGATTTATTTAAAAAATTCTAATAAAAATTATTCGCGAGAATTCAATTATTGTCAAAATTTTTAATTGAATTCTTTGTAAAATTTAATTATTTTTAAAAAGTTTTCGAATTTCCAAACGCAATTTAATTTTTTTAAAATTATTTCTAAAAATCTTCGTAAGAATTCAATTTTTTTCATGAATAGGTAATACAAATTTCTTAGGAATTCAATTATTTAAATTAGAATTTGCATAAAGTGAGTCGAAACAAATCAATTCTTTCATGAATAATAAAATTCGTTGTAGGAATTCAATTTATTTGCAGAATAAGAAAGAAGTAAATAGTTGCTAAGAATTTTACTAAAATTTTCAAAAATAATTAAATTCTTGAGATGAATTTTATTATTTATGAAAATAATTGAATTATTGCGAAAAATTTTATTAAAATGTTTTTAAAAAGAATTGAATTTCTCTGAAAAATTTTGTTATTTTTGAAAATAATTGAATTCTTCATAAGAATTTTATAAACATTCTTTTAAATAATAATTAATTATTTCTAAATATAATAAATATGAAGATTTTATTTTAAATAATTGAATTCTTCTGTAGAAAATTTTATTTGTGAAAATAATTGAATTCTAGCTTAGAATTTTATCAAATTCTTTTTTAAATTTGAATTTTTATGAAAACTGTTATTATTAGTGAATGTTATTGAATTATTGTGAAGAATTGTTTAAAAATGTTGTTAAATAATTGATTTTTTCGAAATTTTTTTGAAAATGCTATATGTTAAATTAATTGAATTTCTGTAGATGAAAATAATCGAATTTAAGATGAGCTTTATCAATTTTTTAAAAATAATTGAATTCTTTTGCGAAATTGGATGAAAATACTCTAGACATTGAAAATAGAATTTTGAATATATTTTGAAAATAATTGAATCGTTTTAAAGAATTTGATTATAATTTTGGGAATAGTTTTTTGATGTCTAGTATTAGTGAATCTAAAGTAGTGGAAATTCTAAAGATAAACAAATAGTAGCTTTTAGTGGCTGAAATCTAAAAATACCTAAATGGTCCATAACTATTTTAATTATTAATTATTTTCCATACTATAGAAATCGAAATAAGTACTAAAAATGTAGTATTTTGTTGGAAGAAAAGTCGTAATTTCTGAAAATAAGTCGAAAAAGTGTTAATATCCGAGGCCTGTAAGAATGGGAGAGAAATTAAGTACAATTGAAAACTATAATACTTAATTTGTTTATAAAGAGATTTACAACCGCAACTGTTTACTGAAAAAATAATATTGTATAGGAAGTTGTTTAGCGAACTTTATCCAATTGTTAGATAAAAATGACGATGAATTAGCGGTTGAGGAGGAAGAATATTTGAAGTAAGAGCATACATACCTCTTTAGTACCATCGAGTCTACCGAGACTCTTAGTTCCACGTAAAGGCGGAAAAGCTATATCCTGCCATGTAGAGCCATCCTCACAAGGTTGTGGTTCACTAACATTAAGACAACGTGCACGGCTTTTACTTCTCCGTTTATCTAAAATATGTTTTGCACGCGATTTTCTCACCGGCACAATGGAGTCGTCCTCTGGATCGCTTTGAATTTCCCATCTTGATGGGGATTTAAAGCGACGACGAGCACTTGTCGGTGAGGTCACAGGTGATGTTAGCCTCTGGACAATAGTGCCAAACATGGTCATCATCAACAAGTCCACCCCGCATAAATGAGCAATAATCCGATAGTCTCTATATGCGAGAGTAGGTGAGGTGACAACTTTAATCACTATCTAACAGCACACTCGATTCTTTTGTCTTCTTTCACAATCTCACACTAATTGCACTAAATCGAGAGAGGACTTTGCTGAATCGCTTATATTTTCCTTTTTTGATGTGAGAACAACTTTGTGAATGCCTTGAGTTGTGAGAGTGACATACCCATGGGAGGCTAATCTACTACGGATGCAGGACTCGAGGCTGCATTCCTTTCTCCCGTCGTCATAGTCCCGTGATCGAAAACGCGTGCGCTCGATCAGATCACGGAGAGAAAACCAACAAACTGGATCGATATGTTTAACTTGACTTTAGTTTCAAAATAAAATGCAACTTCCTTGTGGTGAAGAAATGAAATCCGAATCAACTTCAGAGCTGGCTGGACTCAATTCGAACTTTTGTCTTAACTCCTCTGTTGTATTTCTGTACGCACGACGAAGACGACATGGTGAAAGTCGCAAAATAATACTATACACGTTCAACAGCTGCAGGCAAGCAGAATTAAACTGGTTATACATAGAATTAGGCAGGCGGTTGGAAACTGCCTGAGTGTCGACTAGTTGGCCTCGCATGCCCGAAGAATTCCGAGTTGGCTCGACAAATTCCGAGTTGTTCCGAGTGCCTCCGACTCGAGGCGAACTTGTCCGAAGGGTCGCAAGGTTGTGCAGTGACTGGGTCTTAAGGCCACACTGATCATCCTGGTCACGGTACTAATTTCACAGTTCTAACTCAGTTTGAATAATGTTTAATCTCAGAAAGATCATAGGAGTCATATGTGTGAATCTATAATCATAAATATCACGGCATTCAACAGTGGATATATTGCAAAGAGTTATAGAATTATAGAGGATGAAGGGGAGAACGAATTTGTCAATTTCTATGTCAAGTACAATACATTCAGTAGATTTATTCTTTTTAAGAGAATACCTCATTTCTTTTAGACCAATCGTCCTATAAAAGTAGTGGACATTTTCTACCAAAAAATTCGAACCTGACTAAGATTGTTACGGTTTCAAGATTACAATAAATTCCATGACCAAATGTAAAATTGTTACAATACATTTTTATTATATTACAGACATCATAGTTGGTCCCATTTCCCCCCTTTTTTAATTTTGTCACCTTTTTCACCTTTTTTGATAATTTGGCACCTTCTTCACCTTTTTTGATGATTTGTCGCCTTTTTTTATCTTTTTCTAATCAAAAATAAAGTTTATTTTTTCTTTAAAATCTTTTTCAAAGTGTAATCATAAAATTTAGACTGAATATTATAGAATTCAGTGCGTTTTATTTTTGATTCAGATTTTAACATGACAACATAATATATAAATATGTTTTTTTACTCTTTCTGATTTAAATAATATAACGTAAAGAATTTTATAAACTACAAGGTGGTTCATTCAACAGAATGCAGACCTCGAGAAAAATAATTATAATTAACATTCAAATAATTAAAATATTATTATCAATAGTATTTTCTAGAAAAAGAAAAATATCAATTTTTGAGAAAAACATTGACAATCAAAATATTTATTTATTTCTATATAATTTAAATATGATTTAAATTTTTTTGTCATATCGCCTCTATAAAATTTTTTTTTAACAAATAAGCATATTTTCAACATTATTTTTTGAAGAAAATAGGGAAAGTAAAATTAATCAGGAAAAAAACAGGGATTTTTACTGGAAAAAATTTAATTTTTAGAGTTCATAAGAAAATTCTGAATTTTTGTGTCTTTTTTGAAAAAGAAATTACCACGAATTCTACTAAAGAACCCTCAATTTTTCTATTTAAATAATACTTAATTCTTGTAGAACAATCATAAAATTACTATACTTATAAATAGTTTAATGAATAATTTGACTTAAATATTAACATTAACATAACAACATTTTTTACAGGGATATAATTATTTTCATAAATAATAAAATTCTTTTTAGGAATTCAATTATTTTTATAAATATAATAATACTCAACGCAAAATTTCAATTATTTTGAATACAATTTTAATCGAATCTCGTAACATTTTCTAATAAAAATTAATTGAAATATGAATTTTAATTAAAAACACTATAATAATTATATTTTGAAAAGTTACAAATGATAGCTAAAATTCAATTATTTTCAAAAATAATAAAATTCTTATGAAAAATTCAATTATGTTCCAAAATTTAAAAAAATTCTTGTCCAAATTTTGATTATTTTTATAAATAATAAAATTCTTTGTAGGAATTCAATTGACCTGATTGATAAGTAATGTAGACGTATTTCGTAAGGTATTTCATATTAATTCTGGGAGGGAGGATAAGATTATATTACAATCGCATTACCATAAAATATTTTCTAGATTCACCCCTGTTGAGGTCAGAGTAGTTTTTTTAATGAAAGGGTGAAGTTTAAAAAACGAGTAAAGTATTTTGAAGAGCCCAAAAATAATAAAGCAATTTGCCTTAAAATAAGAGAAAAATGGTGAATTTTTTTTTGACAAAAAAACTATCCCGAACACTAGCACCAGACATCGAAATTTCTTAAAATTCAACATTTTTCTTTTATATTAAAGCAAATTGCTTCACTATTTTTGGGCTCTTCAAAAATACTTTACTCGTTTTTTAAACTTCACCCTTTGGTAAAAAAAAACTACTCTGACCTCTACAGGGGCGGATCCAAAAAATATTTTCGGGTTGGGCGATTGTATTAATCTTATCCTTACACACTGAAAAAAAATATATTTATGATACTGCCATAAATATGGCCAATACTCACATATTATGTTGGTGGATATGGGACAGCCATACAGTATTGCTGTTTCAGCTATACGTCCTAACTATACGAGTATGACAAAATCGACAATATCATTTTTTTCAGTGCACTGACTTAGAACGAGGACACAATTTTGTCTAGGAAAACCATGAGAACAATTTTTAAAGTACAATAGAATGCGTAATATACATTATTCATATAATAAGAATTTATAATTTAATCTTAATCAAAAGTTGCATAACAATGATGAATATAAAAATATTATAAAACTCTTAAATAATCTACAAAGAAGATAAAACAATAGTAAAGCACACAACATACAACCGAAAAGGACTCTGCTGCTCTTAAGAAAACAAGTCTAAAGATTTTAAAAATTAAAGTTTTAAACACACGCAGTGCTTTTACATAGAATAACATTTATTTAGTCAACAAAATAATACAAATAATCAAAAATACAGCAATGTAAATAGAAAAGCAGATTTTAATTGTGTAAAGCTATCAAATGTTTAAAAAGTTTTGACCTAAAAATACCAATACTTTCTGCATTGGTTATTGAACATGGAAGAGAGTTCCACAAAGTTCCAGCCGTAACAATAAAATAATTCTTATATACTTTTCCGTTTCGGCATAGAGGTGTCCTTAGCTGATTAGGACACCTTACTTCCCTCGAAGTAATTTGACTTCTAAAAAAATTTTGTAATAAATAAAGAGGTCTCTTCGTATTTAAAATAACATATGTTAAACATCCATTAAACAACAGAAGTCTATTTTTTACATTTAGCCATCCCAGTCTTTTACGATAAAGAGAAATATGTCCTTTTAAATTAAAAATAAATCTTATACAAAAATTGAAAAGTACCTCCAGCTTACTATTAAGTTCATCTGTAAGATTATTTTATAAACTGCACAACAATAGTCAAAATGAGGTAATATTAGAGAAGAAACAAGTTGGGTTTTCAATTTAGTAGAAAGAGCTTTTCTATTTGATTTAAATTATTGTAATGTTGCATAAACATTTCTACATATGTGGCTCACATGTCTTTCCCCAGAAAGAGTTGGATTAAAAATAACCCTCAAATTCTTAACCAATTGTACATAAGGTATAACTATATTATTAATCTCAACGGGAGGACACTCATTTAAATTCAAGTTACTTATGAACCAATAATCTTTGAATAAGTTTTATCAAGATAAATTTTAAGTTTACTTAACTCTGCCCACTCGTAAACAGCTTTGACATCCTCAATCAGTGCTAAATTTTTAGCCAATTCATCAAGGCTACTCTCTACGTAAATTTGCAAATCATCGACATAGTATACATATCTGAAGAACATTTCTCAAATCATCTGTAAAAAGTATAAATAGTAAAGGACCCAATACGGAACCCTGTGGAACGCCTGTTCCAACACGACCCCATTCAGATCCCTCACCATTCTGTCCATAGACAGACTACAGATTTGGCAGCGATCACTTCCCTGTCATCATGGTTATCCCGATTAAACTGGAAACAAATTGCCAAAGTTCCACAAGATTAAATTTTAAAAAAGTCGACTTACCGAAATTTGATAAATTGGAGAATAATTTCTTGCATCTTCTCTTACTGATTATTATTTCGTATGACATTCAGTTTGTTTGTTTCTTTTTTTGAAACATTTAGACTTTTGCCTATAAATTTTTAAAAAAAAGAAACGTCGTCTTTTGTAGTAGATAAACTATTAATACACATTTCTGTACAAAATTTTTATTTTTTTCACAAACATTACAAACGCTCGCTTTTTCATAGATACAATTCAGGGAATTTTTTAAATAAATATTCGGTTTACATAATACGAAATTGTATAATTTCACTGCCAAAACATATTTATACAACATTTTTATAATCGTTTATTCGTTTTTTTCTGTAAATTATGAAGTATTGACATTTTATTATATTAATATATTCCAATATAATAATATTATTATAAGGATATCGTTAAGGAGATTTAATTACATAATTGTTTGTTGAGAATACTATTATATGTACCATTCAATAAAAATATAATATCTTTTTTGTAAAATACAAAGTTTTCATAAACTTTGAAGAAAATAGTTATATTGTATTATTAAGATTTAAGGAAACATCTTTAACACTTTTTCAAAAAAATTGCATTAACAAAATGAGTCATTCCTTAAGTTTTACTATAAGAAGCAGTTGTGTTTTCTATCATGCATTAAGTATATAATGAGTAACAGGTATACCTATACTTGCATCTTAGGAAAACGGTATTTTCAGAAATTAATATAAAAAGAAATTTTACATTCTTTAAAAATGATTTCATAATACGATTTTAATATTGACATTAAATCTTTAAATCATTAAATTCTCAAATTCTTTCGAGAACCCAAATATGGAACAACGTAAAATTACTGCTTTTAGACAGAATTAAAAATATTCACCTTAGATGCAATTTATAAGTATATGTAATATTAAATAAATGAATTTACATTTTCTTTAGAATGTATTTCCAAAAATTTACCTTCCTGTTAGGTATACATAATCTTTATATACACTATTTAAATATATTATCTTTTGTTTGTAAACATTTGAGTAAAAAAGTAATTTTATATTTCTACGAACCATTCGCTGTTAAATTTATTTTATGCGCTTACAGCTGTATAAATTGATCTAGGTACCTTTAGCTGACATCATTAATTAATTAAAAGGCAGTTTGTTCTTTATAAATGATAAGAAAACCTTCTTCAATTTTTGTAAAAAAAATTTCATGTATAAATATCCTTGGACTTAAACAATAATTGTTGCTTAGTATAACAATTTTTCTGTTTTGAACACAAGAATTTGTTCTTTTGTGAGTAATAAAAAATTTTAAAATTCGAAAATATGTTACAAATGAAAATTACTAAAAAAAGGGAAGAGATTTTGCACAGCTAACTCTACTTTTTTCTCATACACAAATTTTAAAATAATCACACAAAACTTGATATTTTTAATTAAGGTACTTTTATAATAAAAAGTCCTGTTTCTTACACAAAAGAAAGTCATACAGAAAGATCAAGAAAGAAAGTCTTAGAGAAAACCCTAAAGTTATTTTTGTTATGTCTCAAATTCTACATCAATACAAAAATGTTTAGCTGAAGTTTCAAATTGAAAAACGTATAATTTTCCTCGTGTAAAAGCATCTCTTATTAAAACTATTATTGTGACACAATTGATACAAAATATTAAATTAATATTAAATTGATGTGTTTTGTAAACTTAAAAATATTCTACGCTCAAACAAATTTTATTAATACTGAAAACGATATATTTAAATTCCACACTTTTTTCAAACTGAATAAATAAATAAGATTAATTTTTTACTAGTTCACAACAAATAAAAGCAGATGTTCCAAAAATGAATTCTTTTTCAAAATATTATCTACACTTTGACACACAAAATTTATTCTAAATTGAAAAAACATTGCATTTTTTAAATTAGTTAATATTTAGCTTAAAACCCATATAAAATTCTAAAATCGACAAACATTATTCTAACCAGAGGAATTTTTTAACATTATTTTGAAAAATTGATTCCACATTTTATTTAGGAATAATTTGTTTTTATTAACTATTTTTTTATAGTTTTTTTTTAGTTTCCCGTAATAATAGAAGAATTAATTAATGTAATTAATTGCTTTAAAAAAATTTACTCTATAAACAAACAGTTCTCGTTTCATGGGCTTTAAGACACCGATAAATATTGACCGATCTAAAAAAAACTATTAAAGTGACTCTTAGAGTCATTATATGTGTCACAAAATCTTTCTTTAAACGTTAGACATAATTAAATGGCATCTTATTTTCTTCCTTATTTTCTATACATTTTTCTTCATGCAGATATTTTCAAAAACAACTAATTATAATTCCTGATTTTCTGAAAATACATATGACAATTGTAATAATCTCAATTTTGACTGAACAATGTTATACTCATCGATCCAACAGAGAATAAAATTAACATTGTCAAAATTTATTTTACTTCTAATCGAGATGCATTATTAAATACTTTTACTTTGATTTTTCAATAATACATTTTCGAATGGTAACTTTAAAAATTACTTATACTCATAAAACACAAAGAAGACACACTTTACGATATGAATAATACATTTTTGGATTTTTTTAATATAAAAAATATCACTCCTTAATAGTTTAATCTACCATCAACTCAAAGTGTACGGATCCTAATTTTTCATGGCGATTGTGTATTATATTTTTCGCCCAAGCTTTGCATTCGACATTTATCAGAATTCCTCCTGAAAAAATTTAATTTTAAATATTAGTGCAATTCTGTGTATAAGATATGAGAAACTTTAAATTTATTTATTAGATTATTCTATATTTACAAAGTTTATATTTATTTATTGAATATTTATATTGAACAGCAGATGATTAATACACTAAATTAAATGGGGAAGATAAACATATTTTTTTATTATGTCATGAATTTATTCTCAATATCTAAAAGAAATATTTTTATAAGAGGCGTGGAAGAAGCTCGAAAAACTATGGCTAAAGACTTTAGCCAAAGTAAACAAGATCTGAGCCATACTTTGAAACATTGACTAACACTCTCTAAATCTGAATCAGCTAAATTTCACTGATTCTCAGCGATAAGTATGCCACTATTTTCGAACAGCGTATATGCGCTAATTAATCAGTGAAATTTCACTGATTATTTAGTAAAATTTCACTAATTCACAGCGCATATACGCTAATTGAAATAGTGGCATACTTATCGCTGATTCAGATTTAGAGAACAACTAAAACACCATTGCTTGTGGCCGTTTCCCATTCTTACAAAATAATATGCATCACTGCATATTAAACATTGTAAACCATAGGCAATGGATGAAATAGTTTAAAACTTTAAAATTGCTATATGGGTGGTCATAATTTATTGAACCATTTACAATGACAAAAATACTATAAGCCTTTCAAAATATTCATATTATCACTATGTGCGAAAATCTAGCAAATCAACGCCAACGGGAAAACTGGTTTAAATCGAGAAATTTCTATATTCTGACTATGACAGACTTCGCACTTGATAATTAATTTAAAAAAAATAGCAAAAAGTAGCTTTCAAACTAAAAAAAGGTGTAAAACAGTAGTTGCCGAAAAATTAAACTTGATAACCAAAAAACTTTTTTTAGACTTTTCCCAACAATAGCAAAAATTATATTCTATATTTTATATTCCTGAATTTCTCCCCATTTTCATTAAAAATATTCACTTCTTTCTTATCCTGGTAATGAATTGAATTCCTGCCACACTTTACTTATTTAAAAGTCTCCACCCTTTGGTAAAAAATCAAAAATTTCTTAAATTATAAAAAATTCGAAAAACAGAATTTTTTAAAATTCAACATTTTTTCTTCTTTTTTGTAGGGTTCAGCTTCGTCATTTTTGTGCTTTTGAAAAATACTATACTTATTTAATATTCTCGACTCTTTGGCAAAAAATCTAAAATTATCGAAAATTTTCAAAAATTCAAAAATCCAAATTTCTTAAAATTCAACTTTTTTTCCTCTCTTTTATGGGATTTAGCTTCGTTATTTTTGTTCTTTTGGAAAATACTTTACATATTTAATATTCTGGACTCTTTGGTAAAAAATCTAAAATTATCGGAAATTTTCAAAAACTCAAAAATCCGAATTTCTTAAAATTCAACTTTTTTTCCTCTCTTTTATGGGATTTAGCTTCGTTATTTTTGTGCTTTTGGAAAATGCTTTACTTATTTAATTATCTCGACTCTTTGGCAAAAAATCTAAAATTATCGAAAATTTTCAAAAATTCAAAAATCCGAATTTCTTAAAATTCAACTTTTTTTCCTCTCTTTTATGGGATTTAGCTTCGTTATTTTTGTTCTTTTGGAAAATACTTTACATATTTAATATTCTGGACTCTTTGGTAAAAAATCTAAAATTATCGGAAATTTTCAAAAACTCAAAAATCCGAATTTCTTAAAATTCAACATTTTATCTTCTTTTTTATCGCATTTGGATTCATTATTTTTGTGCTTTTGAAAAATACTATACTTATTTAATATTCTCGACTCTTTGGTAAAAAATCTAAAATTATCGAAAATTTTCAAAAACTCAAAAATCCGAATTTCTTAAAATTCAACATTTTTTCCTCTCTTTTATGGGATTTAGCTTCGTTATTTTTGTGCTTTTGGAAAATGCTTTACTTATTTAACAGTCTCGACTCTTTGGTAAAAAATTTAAAATTATCGAAAATTTTCAAAAACTCAATAATCCGAATTTCTTAAAATTCAACATTTTTTCTTCTTTTTTATCGCATTAGGCTTCGTTATTTTTGTGCTTTTGGAAAATACTTTACTTATTTAATAGTCTCGACTCTTTGGTAAAAAATCTAAAATTATCGAAAATTTTCAAAAACTCAAAAATCCGAATTTCTTAAAATTCAACATTTTTTCCTCTCTTTTATGGGATTTAGCTTCGTTATTTTTGTGCTTTTGGAAAATGCTTTACTTATTTAACAGTCTCGACTCTTTGGTAAAAAATTTAAAATTATCGAAAATTTTCAAAAACTCAATAATCCGAATTTCTTAAAATTCAACATTTTTTCTTCTTTTTTATCGCATTAGGCTTCGTTATTTTTGTGCTTTTGGAAAATACTTTACTTATTTAATAGTCTCGACTCTTTGGTAAAAAATCTAAAATTATCGAAAATTTTCAAAAATTCAAAAATCCGAATTTCTTAAAATTCAACATTTTTTCTTCTTTTTTATCGCATTTGGATTCATTATTTTTGTGCTTTTGAAAAATACTATACTTATTTAATATTCTCGACTCTTTGGCAAAAAATCTAAAATTATCGAAAATTTTCAAAAATTCAAAAATCCGAATTTCTTAAAATTCAACTTTTTTTCCTCTCTTTTATGGGATTTAGCTTCGTTATTTTTGTTCTTTTGGAAAATACTTTACATATTTAATATTCTGGACTCTTTGGTAAAAAATCTAAAATTATCGGAAATTTTCAAAAACTCAAAAATCCGAATTTCTTAAAATTCAACATTTTATCTTATTTTTTATCGCATTTGGATTCATTATTTTTGTGCTTTTGAAAAATACTATACTTATTTAATATTCTCGACTCTTTGGTAAAAAATCTAAAATTATCGAAAATTTTCAAAAACTCAAAAATCCAAATTTCTTAAAATTCAACTTTTTTTCCTCTCTTTTATGGGATTTAGCTTCGTCATTTTTGTTCTTTTGGAAAATACTTTACATATTTAATATTCTGGACTCTTTGGTAAAAAATCTAAAATTATCGGAAATTTTCAAAAACTCAAAAATCCGAATTTCTTAAAATTCAACATTTTTTCCTCTCTTTTATGGGATTTAGCTTCGTTATTTTTGTGCTTTTGGAAAATAGTTTACTTATTTAATAGTCTCGACTCTTTGGTAAAAAATCTAAAATTATCGAAAATTATCAAAAACTCAAAAATCCGAATTTCTAAAAATTCAACATTTTTTCCTCTCTTTTATGGGATTTAGCTTCGTTATTTTTGTGCTTTTGGAAAATGCTTTACTTATTTAACAGTCTCGACTCTTTGGTAAAAAATTTAAAATTATCGAAAATTTTCAAAAACTCAAAAATCCGAATTTCTTAAAATTCAACATTTTTTCTTCTTTTTTATCGCATTAGGCTTCGTTATTTTTGTGCTTTTGGAAAATACTTTACTTATTTAATAGTCCCGACTCTTTGGTAAAAAATCTAAAATTATCGAAAATTTTCAAAAACTCAAAAATCCGAATTTCTTAAAATTCAACATTTTTTCCTCTCTTTTATGGGATTTAGCTTCGTTATTTTTGTGCTTTTGAAAAATACTATACTTATTTAATATTCTCGACTCTTTGGTAAAAAATCTAAAATTATCGAAAATTTTCAAAAATTCAAAAATCCGAATTTCTTAAAATTCAACATTTTTTCTTCTTTTCTATCGCATTTGGATTCATTATTTTTGTGCTTTTGAGAAATACTATACTTATTTAATATTCTCGACTCTTTGGTAAAAAATCTAAAATTATCGAAAATTTTCAAAAACTCAAAAATCCGAATTTCTGAAAATTCAACATTTTTTCCTCTCTTTTATGGGATTTAGCTTCGTTATTTTTGTGCTTTTGGAAAATGCTTTACTTATTTAACAGTCTCGACTCTTTGGTAAAAAATTTAAAATTATCGAAAATTTTCAAAAACTCAAAAATCCGAATTTCTTAAAATTCAACATTTTTTCTTCTTTTTTATCGCATTAGGCTTCGTTATTTTTGTGCTTTTGGAAAATACTTTACTTATTTAATAGTCTCGACTCTTTGGTAAAAAATCTAAAATTATCGAAAATTTTCAAAAATTCAAAAATCCGAATTTCTTAAAATTCAACATTTTTTCTTCTTTTTTATCGCATTTGGATTCATTATTTTTGTGCTTTTGAAAAATACTATACTTATTTAATATTCTCGACTCTTTGGCAAAAAATCTAAAATTATCGAAAATTTTCAAAAATTCAAAAATCCGAATTTCTTAAAATTCAACTTTTTTTCCTCTCTTTTATGGGATTTAGCTTCGTTATTTTTGTGCTTTTGAAAAATACTATACTTATTTAATATTCTCGACTCTTTGGTAAAAAATCTAAAATTATCGAAAATTTTCAAAAATTCAAAAATCCGAATTTCTTAAAATTCAACATTTTTTCTTCTTTTCTATCGCATTTGGATTCATTATTTTTGTGCTCTTGAGAAATACTATACTTATTTAATATTCTCGACTCTTTGGTAAAAAATCTAAAATTATCGAAAATTTTCAAAAACTCAAAAATCCGAATTTCTGAAAATTCAACATTTTTTCCTCTCTTTTATGGGATTTAGCTTCGTTATTTTTGTGCTTTTGGAAAATGCTTTACTTATTTAACAGTCTCGACTCTTTGGTAAAAAATTTAAAATTATCGAAAATTTTCAAAAACTCAAAAATCCGAATTTCTTAAAATTCAACATTTTTTCTTCTTTTTTATCGCATTAGGCTTCGTTATTTTTGTGCTTTTGGAAAATACTTTACTTATTTAATAGTCTCGACTCTTTGGTAAAAAATCTAAAATTATCGAAAATTTTCAAAAATTCAAAAATCCGAATTTCTTAAAATTCAACATTTTTTCTTCTTTTTTATCGCATTTGGATTCATTATTTTTGTGCTTTTGAAAAATACTATACTTATTTAATATTCTCGACTCTTTGGCAAAAAATCTAAAATTATCGAAAATTTTCAAAAATTCAAAAATCCGAATTTCTTAAAATTCAACTTTTTTTCCTCTCTTTTATGGGATTTAGCTTCGTTATTTTTGTTCTTTTGGAAAATACTTTACATATTTAATATTCTGGACTCTTTGGTAAAAAATCTAAAATTATCGGAAATTTTCAAAAACTCAAAAATCCGAATTTCTTAAAATTCAACATTTTATCTTCTTTTTTATCGCATTTGGATTCATTATTTTTGTGCTTTTGAAAAATACTATACTTATTTAATATTCTCGACTCTTTGGTAAAAAATCTAAAATTATCGAAAATTTTCAAAAACTCAAAAATCCAAATTTCTTAAAATTCAACTTTTTTTCCTCTCTTTTATGGGATTTAGCTTCGTCATTTTTGTTCTTTTGGAAAATAGTTTACTTATTTAATAGTCTCGACTCTTTGGTAAAAAATCTAAAATTATCGAAAATTATCAAAAACTCAAAAATCCGAATTTCTGAAAATTCAACATTTTTTCCTCTCTTTTATGGGATTTAGCTTCGTTATTTTTGTGCTTTTGGAAAATGCTTTACTTATTTAACAGTCTCGACTCTTTGGTAAAAAATTTAAAATTATCGGAAATTTTCAAAAACTCAAAAATCCGAATTTCTTAAAATTCAACATTTTTTCTTCTTTTTTATCGCATTAGGCTTCGTTATTTTTGTGCTTTTGGAAAATACTTTACTTATTTAATAGTCTCGACTCTTTGGTAAAAAATCTAAAATTATCGAAAATTTTCAAAAACTCAAAAATCCGAATTTCTTAAAATTCAACATTTTATCTTCTTTTTTATCGCATTTGGATTCATTATTTTTGTGCTTTTGAAAAATACTATACTTATTTAATATTCTCGACTCTTTGGTAAAAAATCTAAAATTATCGAAAATTTTCAAAAACTCAAAAATCCGAATTTCTTAAAATTCAACATTTTTTCCTCTTTTTTATGGGATTTAGCTTCGTTATTTTTGTGCTTTTGGAAAATGCTTTACTTATTTAATTATCTCGACTCTTTGGCAAAAAATCTAAAATTATCGAAAATTTTCAAAAACTCAAAAATCCGAATTTCTTAAAATTCAACTTTTTTTCCTCTCTTTTATGGGATTTAGCTTCGTTATTTTTGTGCTTTTGGAAAATAGTTTACTTATTTAATAGTCTCGACTCTTTGGTAAAAAATCTAAAATTATCGAAAATTTTCAAAAATTCAAAAATCCGAATTTCTTAAAATTCAACATTTTTTCTTCTTTTCTATCGCATTTGGATTCATTATTTTTGTGCTTTTGAGAAATACTATACTTATTTAATATTCTCGACTCTTTGGTAAAAAATCTAAAATTATCGAAAATTTTCAAAAACTCAAAAATCCGAATTTCTTAAAATTCAACATTTTTTCCTCTCTTTTATGGGATTTAGCTTCGTTATTTTTGTGCTTTTGGAAAATGCTTTACTTATTTAATTATCTCGACTCTTTGGCAAAAAATCTAAAATTATCGAAAATTTTCAAAAACTCAAAAATCCGAATTTCTTAAAATTCAACTTTTTTTCCTCTCTTTTATGGGATTTAGCTTCGTTATTTTTGTGCTTTTGGAAAATAGTTTACTTATTTAATAGTCTCGACTCTTTGGTAAAAAATCTAAAATTATCGAAAATTATCAAAAATTCAAAAATCCGAATTTCTTAAAATTCAACATTTTTTCCTTTCTTTTATGGGATTTAGCTTCATTATTTTTGTGCTTTTGGAAAATACTTTACTTATTTAACAGTCTCGACTCTTTGGTAAAAAATCTAAAATTATCGAAAATTTTCAAAAACTCAAAAATTCGAATTTCTGAAAATTCAACATTTTTTCCTCTCTTTTATGGGATTTAGCTTCGTTATTTTTGTGCTTTTGGAAAATAGTTTACTTATTTAATAGTCTCGACTCTTTGGTAAAAAATCTAAAATTATCGAAAATTATCAAAAATTCAAAAATCCGAATTTCTGAAAATTCAACATTTTTTCCTCTCTTTTATGGGATTTAGCTTCGTTATTTTTGTGCTTTTGGAAAATGCTTTACTTATTTAACAGTCTCGACTCTTTGGTAAAAAATCTAAAATTATCGAAAATTTTCAAAAACTCAAAAATCCGAATTTCTTAAAATTCAACATTTTTTCTTCTTTTTTATCGCATTAGGCTTCGTTATTTTTGTGCTTTTGGAAAATACTTTACTTATTTAATAGTCCCGACTCTTTGGTAAAAAATCTAAAATTATCGAAAATTTTCAAAAACTCAAAAATCCGAATTTCTTAAAATTCAACATTTTTTCCTCTCTTTTATGGGATTTAGCTTCGTTATTTTTGTGCTTTTGGAAAATAGTTTACTTATTTAATAGTCTCGACTCTTTGGAAAAAAATCTAAAATTATCGGAAATTTTCAAAAACTCAAAAATCCGAATTTCTTAAAATTCAACATTTTATCTTCTTTTTTATCGCATTTGGATTCATTATTTTTGTGCTTTTGAAAAATACTATACTTATTTAATATTCTCGACTCTTTGGCAAAAAATCTAAAATTATCGAAAATTTTCAAAAATTCAAAAATCCGAATTTCTTAAAATTCAACATTTTTTCCTCTCTTTTATGGGATTTAGCTTCGTTATTTTTGTGCTTTTGGAAAATGCTTTACTTTTCTAAATAGGGTGTTTAAACAAGGATTGAGAAAATTATTCGCCGACTTTTTACTAATTTTATTTCCACTTTCTTGGGACAAAAGTATGGTAACTGACATATTTAACAATAAATTAATATCTAATGATAGAAACAAACGATAATAAAAATCTTCTAAGTTTTGTTAGAAAAAAAATTTTTTTTATTCACAATAATTTTATTTTTTGTATAAGTTTTTAGAAATTTAAGAAATTGTTCGATCAAATATCCTAGAATAATGGATCGGCTATAAGTAATAATTTTGGAAGTCTATTTTAACATTTTTTAAATGACTCAAAAGTATTTTTAATTTTAATATTGACAACTGAAACTTTTCTTAAAAAGAAAAAAATTACACATTCTGTTGTTGCAAATTGCATGAAAGAATTAAAGTGTATGAAATAATTAAAACTTTAAATTCTTACTTGTTAGACGTCTGAAGTGTACAGCTACTAATGGACTTAAGTATCCTTCTGCATTTTCAAAAGGATAGTAATATCCAGGAAATCCTTGCTCTTTCGGTATTATTTCGATGGGACCAATGTTTTCTTGATCCGCTGGATTTTCACCCTCACAAGATACCCAAATGGTATTAAGTTTTCGGGAATCTTCCGCTTTCAATGAGCGAATATGACTTTTTAATGACTCTGGCATTATTGATGGCAATTCATCAGTGTTGTTGTAGAAATCTGGTCTCCATCCGTAAATCTGAGGATTCATAATTTCTATAAATGAAGTAAATAATTTTTTTTCAAGAGCATGCAAAAGTGGAACCTCGATTTTTCATCACGTACCGGACGAAAACCTTGACGACTAACCAAAGAAATTGATAATCGAATTTGTGAATTTTAAGTACATAAGTTATAGTTTGTTTTTTTACATTTTTGATATCAATACATACAATTATAAAAAAAATCTGAACCACTTTTTTCCATTTGTTCAACTTTACCTTGTTTAGCTTTAAGAAGATGCAAGGAGCTGATTTGTGATAATTGAACAAATTTTTCTCAGTGCAAGGATGAAATTTGTAAATATCCACATTGCATACTTGTCCGGATGGAGGATAATTCCCATAATCACAGTTATAAATGTTTGCCCCTAGACCAGGTGTCGTACCAGGAGTTCTATAATCTACAAGATAAAATTTCTGATGTTTGAACAGATAAAATTGTTGATTCATGAATTTAAAATGTTATAATTAATTATGATATTATTATGATATGATATATTACTTATGATATAATATATATACACTTATGATAATGTTTCTAAAAATTAGTATTAATTTGTTAAAAAGTATAAAATAATAATTAATTAGCCTTACCGTGCAAAAAGTCTTCTAAAGATTTAACCCAATATTTAAAGTTTTCTGAATCTGTTGCTTTGTACCATATTAAGGTACTTTCAACATTTTCCGACGGTGGATGAGGTCTGAAACCCAAACCTAAAAAATATTTTTTAAAGAATTAGGTTTAACACATATTTCGTAATACATAGTTGTTCTTCTACAATAGCAGGATTCAGTTGAAAATTTTATATACTTCTACAAATGTCTTAAGGATTTTACCAACTTCTTCTACAATTTCTATACTCATGTGATTTTTCTTGCTTAAGGGGACAGTTTAGCAATTACTAGAATAAAGGAAGACTTTTCGGAAACTTGCATTTTTCATTGGACGAATTTCGATTTTATTCAACTTATTAATTTTCTTCTGATTCATTCGTATTATTTAATTTATTGGAACTATTGTAACTTTTCGTATTCTTGCTTTATTGTTATATATATAGTGAAACTGTTTTCATAGATTTCCTGGAACAAATAAGGATATTATATTCGGTATTGGTACAGAAGCTACTATTTCTGTTTTTTAGAGAATTTACACTACCTTAAATTCGCTAATACTAGAAATCAAAAAACTATTCTCAATAATTATAATCAAATTCCTTAAAACGATTCAATTATTTTCAAAAAATATTCCAAATTCAATTATTTTCATAAATAATAAAATTCTTCTCAGGAATCCAATTATTTTTTAAAAATTTTAATAAAGCTGTTAGCATCTATTCAATTATTTTTAATACAATTTTACAAGAGCTGCTCGAAAAATGTAATTATTCTTAAAAATTCAATTTCAATTCCTCGAAAAAACGAATAATTAAATTTTTTTTTAAATTCTTTGGAAGAATTCAATTATTTACAAAAATATTAGAATTTTTCACAGGAATTCAATTATTTTCAAATCCAAACAGAATTCAATTATTAAAAATTTTTTTTTAAATTCTTCGTAAGAATTCAATTTTTCTCATGAATAATAAAAATTTCTTAGGAATTTAATTATTTAAATTAGAATTTCCATAAAAAGTGAGGAAAATAAAAAATATGGAATATGGTTTGTGTTATTTTTAATGTAGCTAAGAATATTATTATCTTTCTAAAGTTAATAGTTAAAAATGCTTATTTGTCCAATGATTTTGTTATTAATAATATTAAAAAAGTCGGCATTGATTCCTATTGCAGTTGGCAAAGTACCATAGTTTTCATTTTCTCCTGAATCCGACTTTATTGATAAAAGTTAAATGTTACTAAGGTTGTATAAAGCTTACCTGGGTTCGTTCCTATGAGAGATTTATTTAATTGCCAAGTTGGTATTCTTGGATCAATTGTTTGATAAAATCCCCAAAAGCAGATAGCTACTAAAGCTGCTAATACTCCGTAAAATACTAAGTAGAAAAGTCCAATTTTTCCTGCAATAAAATTTAAAAATCATTATTATATAACATTTTTTAGTTAAAAAGTACAGAGAAAATTTTAGTATTTTTTAATATTAATTAAGGTATGTACCACTTGGCAACAGTTTTTTGTTTTTAAATTAAAAAATAAATTTGTAAAATTTGTAAAACTTTGCCTATTTTTACAATTTTTAAATGTGTCTAACTTCTTTGGATAAAATGGGAATAAAATATGGGTCTTTCGGAAATAATTAAATTTTCACTAACTATACCTGCACGTCATTTTGTAATACATCAAAAAATTGTGAAAATGAACAAAGTAACAATTTCATTTTGCCAATTTATTTAATTGAAAAAGAAAACAAAAAAAAGGTGTATAAAGAAAAAGTAAAAAATAATCGCAATTACTTAATATTCCGTAAGATTTTACTTAATTTTATTTATTGTTTACTTGTGCTATTTTAGGAATAAAGACCCTCATACAGATAAAAGGTAGATGGTTTATTTTATAAACTATTACTATTGGATTATTATTTTATAAACATTTCAAAATACTTTTAAACTGATCAATATGAAAAATTTTAAAGTACATGACATTGCAATAGCTTTAGGGCAATGATCCAACTACAAACTTGAAATTCTATTTTAGAAAAGGGGAACACACATCCTATTATTAGTTTGGAATTATCAATGACATTTCGACAGATAAAAACTTTTTATATTTATGAAATAGTTAAAGCAGAAAGTTAAAAATTATGTTAACGTTTCCCAGATAGTCGGAAAGTTTACGGCAAGCTTGGGTGATCTTGCCAAAATATCTTCTGTATAGCAAACTTTCTGTAAAAGGTTCTCGCAATCTCGATATAAAAATTGTTTCAACATTCCAAGGGATGATTAGGAAATATTAACCATTTCTTTTTTGCATTTTAAAAATCAGAAAAAACCGTTTTTGCCCACAATTTTAAGAAAATTTTAGGACACCTATAAATATTTCGCCCTTCTATTTACTTTTCATATTGGGGTGGTCCAGGCATATACAAGTACTTCTAATTCAAAGTCGTAGACGCAATATTTAGTAATATACAATTTGAAGGTGTACTTTGTGTATGAAAATTCACTTGCAACGCTAGTATATTAAGGCAATAGACGAGTGAATATAGCTCTAAAATAAACAAATAAATAAAGTTGCATTGAAAAATTGCTGAAAATTTCCACAGATAACATTCAAAAATTTTTACATTAGACTTGCAAAATATTTGCAGAATCTTGAGCGTAATAGTTTTCTGTGGCCTCACTGCTTAATCTAATCATCGCGGAATTTTCGCAATAATTGATTCTGCGTAATGACTGTCTAAACAGTTTCGGAACGCTCTGCATTAAATATAGTATTGCTTCTCATAGACCAATGTAAGATTGAAGTAATGCTAGAATTTTTAAAAACCCTTCGTCCAATTATGTGCTATACTCACTCACTAACAAAAAATATAAAAATTGGTTAATAAGACTTTTTGTCAAGGTTGGCCTACCATTTATAATATAAATTTGACAGATACTTTTTAAATAAATATACAAATAAACGTTCATTATTTTATTATTCACAGGACTTTCCAACAATATACTTAAATTGACCAAATTCATTTTAAAAGAAAGTTGTAAACAAAAGTCAAAAGGTGAGCCGACCTTGACTATGCTCCCCAACTATTATGTTTCTCATTTTTGTTGTTTGTTTTAATAAATGAAAAATATTATTACCTTCTTGAAATGCTTTAAATGATTCTTCAATGTTTATTACTTTAAAATTAAAAACTTTATGTTTTCCTATTTATTACGCTTTCCATAATTCATCATCTACAATAATTTATTTTTGCTTCCTCAGAGAGGAATTATATTGTGTCTGCACTTGCATTGCACTAGCCTCAATAACTCAAAGCCAAAAAAATTAAATAGATAGGTATTTTTTAAAAATTACATATATCCCGGAGAAACAAAAAATGAAAGTATTTGAAGTCCGATTTATAGAGTCTATTCATATTTTTTACTTTGTGAAAAAATGTTTTTGCCATAATTAAAAAAATGAAACCAAGTAAAAAATGGCTCATATTGCTTATGTAATTTTTGGACGGCCCCTAAGTCAAAAAAACATGATAACATATACATTTTTTCAGAAATTATTGTAGTTTTAATAAAACAAGGCAAACTCAACAATTTTTTTGATTTTTTAAAAAAATTAATTAACCTTTTTTTGAGGCTTAGTTTTTAAAAAATTATAGATTGTAGTTGCTTAGAGAGAAACTATGTGAATTAACACGCAGTTTAGAAAATAAACAATTCTTCGTAGCATTAAAGAAGTTGCATTTACATAATTTTTTAGATAGTGTAAGTTTAATTGAAATTAATCAGAGGATAATGTAGTACACAGGGGCACATACATATATTTAACTACAATTTGTAAATTATAAAATTATAAAAAAACCTGAATATTATACTCGTCGAGGACGGGTACGATAGTTAGTATAATTATATATATACTATCTCTAAGACTGCTTCTAAAGTGAATCATCCATAAAAGAATGTTTTCAATTATAATTTTTATTATTCATGAGAAGAATTGAATTCTTAGGAAGATTTTTACAACAAATTTTTTAATAATTGAATTCTATTTGAAATTTTATGAAATAGTACAAAGTTTAGCGAAAATATGTAATATGTAATGTGAAATAAATTTTTTCCTTATAGGGTTGGAAATTTGCTAAAATTTGCACGCCTAACTCTTATAATGCCAAATTTGTATAATTTAGTTGCGCATTGTAACTTAGATTTTAATTATAGGGCTTGACCACCCGTATGTAAATAAATAAATCTATTTAATATTTTTCTAAACTGTGAGACTTAATTTAAGGTCAAATTTTCAACAACAAAAAAGTTGTCAAAACAAAATAATTCATTTGTTTCTGGATTACAACTTCATGAATTGCTGTAATTTCTCAATTATTTTTCTTAAAAAAATATTCACGATATTCTACTGCTAATTGGTAGATTAATAAAAATGAGAAATATTCAAAGACTAAAAAGAATAAGGCGGAAGGAGATTGCACATGTTTCATGATCTGACACAAACATTCATACGCCTTTCAATAGCAATTGTTAAACTTCCCTTAGAACGAACGTGAACAACGAGGTCAATTGACGTTAAATAGAAACACATTACTGCATTACGTAATTTAGGGTCATTTTGAAGGGTACACCTACGCGACTATATGACGGCCATGCAATCATAGCTACAAAGAATAAACCAGAGTCCCAAAACCGGATCGGTTAGGATTTGTAGCGCGACGTAACATGTCTACCGGATGTAGATAAAACGTCCACATACTTTTGATTATTACAATTGTTGGAAAATTGTATTAATTTATTTTTATTATGCTTTTGATTTACTTTTATAAAGATTATTTTCATTGATCAATTTTCAGGATCATACAATGTCAGCATGCGAGGAAAAAGTTTAGTTTTCAGATTTAATTGCTATGACATAAAAGAATTTTGTCAAGACAATTTGGTAGCAATGGCAAAGAAAATTCGTTTGAATCTGAACGAAATATAAATTATTTAACTATTTTTCTTCAAGGATTGGTCCATCGAGAACATACTTGATTTTTGTTACTATTCCAGAATTTTTAAATCCTTTTCTTTATATTTTATTAAAGACTTCGTCAAATCCGATGCCAAAATGGTCAAGCATTTTTATTTCATTCAAAGAACCTTTTTGAAAAAATGGAGCTATTCATGCGAAATTTTATTCGTAGGTACATTACGCAAAAATAGTTCGACCGATTGAAATGAAACTTAACAATCATTTGAGTGCAGAGTATTTTAATGTGACGTCATCCTGCCTACCAAGTGGTAATGTCAAGTTTTTTATTTTACCGACTTATGTAAACAGAGAGGAATATTATTTATTACATTTTTGAATTTGAAAAATGTTTTCAGTTTACATTTTTTTAGTAATTTTTTAATATTTTCATTACTTATTTTGGTTTGGAGTTGACTATAATATTACTTCCATTTAAGTGAAAATTAAAAAATAGCTTTAAGTGGATAATAAGTTAATATTCTAATTTTTGAAAATGACCACTAGTTATAACTAGAAGAACTTCAAGATAATCTGAGTACCTTAATAACGCGAGAATTATTGTAGCAACCACTTAATATTGATAATTAAATGTTAAAGTTACATATTCTTTTATTTTAAAAGCCAACAAATAATTTTGAAAAATTAATCCTTTACTTTTTATTTTTTAAAATACATACCTAATTTAAAACAGAAATGGTCTGTTACTAACTATGTGACATATGTCCAAGTAAAAACTGGGGAAATGAAATCATGCTGCTGTGCAAATAATATGCAAGATAATCTACATCGACCAACGGTCAGGTGTCTGCGCAGACTGCGGTTGTTCAAATTGAAATGAAACCCTTCTAACCTTATTGTATTTTTAAAAATTTATATTTGTTATTTCAAAATAATCATAGAATACATTTCTTCACTAATAATAAATGTAAATACACAAAGCACGTTGTCCTTTTCTTTTGATTGCGATATTTAGTACTAATTAACAATAAATATGTAGCCAGTAATTAACAATAATTTTAATTTTAAAAATAAAAATTTTAAGTATGAATGAAGAATTTTAAACTGAAGGAAAAAAATATAAAACTTGTTTACGAATGAAAATTTTCCTTCGTATTACGATTTTTACTTCCTTCACTGTAAGCGCTAAAGGTAAAGGACAAAAACACCCCAAATTTTCACTATACTTTTCATCGAGCTGTGAACAGCTGCCTCACATATAACATTCGTCAGAAATGCATTCAACATAATTTTCGCTTAACAAAGGCTTCCGTTATTATACAAAAATAAAATTTTGATTGTCAGATCGACATTGTGCAAATTTCTTTTTCTCTATTTCCTAAACAATATTAGAAAATTGTTGAAAATTATTATTAAAAAATAAAAA